AAAAAAGTTACAAATAGAAAGGATCATGAGAGATTACTATGAACAAATATATGCTAGCAAATTGGGCAATTTAGAAGAAATGGATTTGTTTCTGGAAATGTACAACCTACCAAGTTTGAATCATGAAGTAGAAAGCCTAAATAGAACAGTTACTAGTAAAATAGTTGAATCAGTCATCAGAAACCTCCTAATCCTCTAGTACCAGACAGCTTCACTAGTGAATTCTACCTGACATTGAAAGAAGAATTAATACCAATCCTTCTCAAACTCTCTCAAAAAAAAAAAAAAGAAGAAGAAGAAGAAGAGGCGAGAACTCTATTACACATGTTTTATGAGGCCAGCATTACCCTAATACCAAAACCAGACAAGAAGGACACAAGACAAGAAAATTATAGGCTAATATTCTGATGGGCATAGATGCAAAAATCTTCAACAGGTATTAGTATACTCAGTTCAATAATACATTAAAAGGACCATACACCTTGATGAAGTGGGTCTTATTCCAGAAATGTAAGGTTCATCATCTGCAGATTAGTCAACGTGATACACATAACACATTAACAAAATGAAGGATAAAAACTGTATCAATGTCAACATGTGGAAAAAACATTTGACAAAATTCAGCATCCATTTATAACTCTCAGTAAAGCCAGCATAGAGGGACCATACCTCAACATAATAAAGGCCATATATGACAAGCCCACAGCTAATATTGTACTCAGTGGTGAGCTGAAAGCACTTCCTATAAGATCACAAAGAAGAAACAGATGCCTGCTCTCCCCACTTTTATTCAGTGTAGTTGGAAGTACTAGCCAGAGCAGCTAGGCAAGTAAAAAATTAAAGGCCTCCAAATTAGAAAGCAAGAAGTGAAACTGTCACCATTTGCAGGTGACTTGATATTGAACGTAGAAAACCCTAAAGACTCCCATCAGAAAACTGTTTGCATATTCAAATTTAGTAAAATTGCAAGATACAAAATCACACGCAAGTCTGTTGCATTTCTGTACATTAATAATGAACTATCAGAGAAATTAAGAAAATAATCCTATTTACAGTTGCATCAAAAAAGTAGAAAGCTAGTAATAAATTTAATCAAAAAGGTGAAAGACCCGTCAGTATATGGAGAAGTACAAGACATTAAGAAAGAAGTTGAAGACATAAATGGAAAGATACTCTTTGCCTATGAATCGGAGGAATTCATATTGTTAAAATGTCTGTACTTCCTAAAACAATATTAATCCCTACCAAAATTAGAATGGCGTTTTTCAGAAATAGAACAATCCTAAAATTTATATGGAATCGTAAAAAACTTCAAATAGCCAAAGTAATCTCAAGAAAGAACAAAGTTGGAGGCATCACGCTCCCTGATTTCAAAGTAAATTACAGAGCTATACTAATGAAAACAGTACATTTGCATAAAAACAGGCATATAGATTAATGGTACGGAAAACAAAGCCCAGAAATAAACCCATAAACACACGAGCAATTAATTTATGGAAAAGGAGTCAAGAGGGGCTCTTCAGTAAATGCTGTTGAGAAGATTGAATGACCGCATGGAAAAGAATGAAACTAGAACAGCATCTTACACATGCAAAGCTTAACTCAGATTGAACTAAAGAATGTGAGCCATGAAACCATAAAACTCCTAGGAGAAAAAAGGAGGGCAAGCCCCTTGATACAGGTTTTAGTGATTTTTTTGAATCTGATGCCAAAAGCAAAAGCAGCTAAGGCAAAAATGAACACATAGGAATGTCAGGTGAGGAACCTGCAAGCAGGGTGCTGGGGTGGGTGGGGGGAGGCTCAGTCGGTTAAGCGTGCCAACTTTCAGCTCAGGTCATGATCTCACAGTTCGTGGGTTCAAGTCCTGCATCGGGCTCTCTGCTGTCAGCACACCTGCTTCAGATCCTCTGTACTCCCCCTTTGTCCCTCCCTCCCTCCCTCTCTTTCTAAAATAAACAAACATTTAAAAAATCTTTTTAAAAAATATGCACAAGGCGCCTGCGTGGCTCAGTTGTTTGGGCGACTGACTTCACTCAGGTCATGATCTCACAGATTGTGAGTTCGAGCCCCATGTCAGGCTCTGTGCTGACAGCTCAGAGCCTGGAGCTGCTTCAGATTGTCTCCCTCTCTCTGCCCCTCCCCCACTTGTGCTGTGTCTCGCTCACTCTCTCAGAAAATGAATACACATTTTTAAAAAATGTTTTTTAATCTGCACAGCAAAGGAAATCAACAAAATGAAAAGGCATCCTACTGAATGGGAGAAAATATTTGCAAATCATGTATCTCATAAGGGACTAATATCCAAAATATATAAAGAACTCATAAAATTCAATATCAAAAATGAACAGGGGTGCCTGGGTGTCGCGGTTGGTTTAGCATCCAATTTCGGCTCAGGTCAGGATTTCACAGTTTGTGAGTTCTAGCCCCGCATCGGGCTCTGTGCTGACAGCTCAGAACCTAGAGCCTGCTTCACATTCTGTGTGTGTATGTCTGTCTCTCTCTCTGCCCCCGCCCCACTTGTGTGCGTGGCTCTCTCTCTTAAATAAACATTAAAAAATTTTTAATGAACAATCAGATTAAGAAATGGGTAGAAGATCTGAACATAAATTTTTCCACAGAAGACACACAATTGTCAACAGATAAATGAGTTACTAGGGAAATGCAAATCAGAACTTCACACACATCGAGATATCTCACACCTGTTAGAAAAGATTATTATCAAAAAGACGGGAAATAACAAGCATTGGCAAGAATGTGGGAAAACCAGAACCTTATGCACTGTTTGTGGGATTGTAAATTGGTGCAGCCAATGGAAAACAGTATGGAGTTTCCTCAGAATACTTAGTAGAACTGTCGTATGATCTAGTAATTTTACCTCTGGGTATTTATCCGAGGAAAATGAAAACACTAACTCAGAAAGAAATATGCATGTTCATTGCATTATTTACAATAGTGAATAATACACAATGGGAGAAATATAGTGTCTTCGTTAAGTGGTATTAAGAAAATTGGACAGCCACATGCAAAAAAGTGAAGCTGGATTGGATCACTGTCTCACACCATAGGTAAAAGTTAACTCAAACAAAGTGTATTAAAGACTCGAATGTGGGGGCGCCTGGGTGGCTCCGTTGGTTAAGCATCTGACTTTGGCTCGGGTCATGATCTCGTAGTTTGTGAGTTCCAGGCCCATGTCAGGCTCTGTGCTGACAGCTCAGAGCCTGGAGCCTGCTTCAGATTCTGCGACTCCTTCTCTCTCTGCTCCTCCCCTGCTCATGCTCTGTCTCTCAAAAAATAAATGTTAAAAAAAAAAAAAAAACTTGAATGTAATTGAATGTAAGGCATGAAATTGTAAAGCTCCTAGAAGAAAACGTAGATGGTAAGCTCATTGATACATTTCTTGGAATGGATAAATTGTGGTGTATACATATGGTGAATATTATTCATAGAAAATAATGGAATTTTGCCATTCATGACTGTGGATAGACCCTGAGGGCTTTGGTGTATGTGTAATAAGTCAGAGAAAGCCAAATACTGAATGAAATGAAGTCTTAACATATATATATTAGACCCTAAGCTCATAGATACGGAAGACAAATTGGTGGTTTCCAGAGGCAGGAGTAGGGGATAGGAAAGATGGGTGAACTGTTTTTATTTTTAGTTTAAATAAGTTGAGTTTTTAAGAATATGGGCTCAAGTAGACATTTCTCCAAAGAGGACATGCAGATTGCTAATAAGCACATAAGGATGTTCAGTGTCACTAATAATTAGGGAAAGACAAATTTGAGCTACAGTGAGATCCCACCCCATCCCATCCCATCCCATCAGGATGGCTACCACCGAAAATCTCCCCCAGGTGCTTGGGTGGTTCAGTTGGTTAAGTGTGGACTCCTGATTTCATCCAGCTCTGGGTTTTGACTTAGGTCATGATCTCGTGGTCGTGACATGGAGCCCTGCATTGGGCTCTGTGCTGACGTCACAGATCCTACTTGGGCTTCTCTCTCCACCCCTCCCCTGCTCGTGTGCACTCCCTCTCTCAATCTCTCTCTCAAAATAAACTTAAAAAAAAAAAACCTAGAAAATGTAGAGGATGTGGAGAAATTGGAACCTTTTGTTCACTGTTGGTAGTAATGTAAAATGGTATGGCTGCTGTGGAAAATAGTATGGCAGTTCCTCAGAGAACTGGGGTGCCTGGGTGGCTCACTCTGTTAGGTGTCTGCCTCTTGATTTTGGCTCAGGTCATGATCTCATAGTCCTTAGATCGAGCGTGGAGCCTGCTTGGAATTGAGATGCTTTCTCTCTTTCTCTCGCTCTTTTTCTGTCTTCCCTCCTCCCCATTCTAAAAAAAATTAAATAAAATTAATGTACTATATAATCCAGCAATTCCACTTCCGTGTGTACAATCCCAAAGAACGGAGAGCAGGGACTCATGTAATTATTAGGACACCTGTTTTCATAGCATCATTATTCACCATGGCCACAATGTGGAAGCAGCCCAAGTGTCCATCAGCGGATGAAAGAATACACAAAATATGGTATATTCATACAGTGGTATATTATACAGCCTAGAAAGTAGGGAAGTTTTGTAATATGCTACAGAATGGATGAACATTGAGGACATTGTGCTAAGTAAAATAACCCAGCTGCAAAAGTCAAATAGTGTACGAGTTTACTTATTTCGGGTCCTTAAGAGTATTCAAGTTCACAGAAGCTAAATTGTAGGATGCTGGTTGCCAGTGGCTGGGGAGGAGAGGGTGGCATGTTACTATTAACAGGCATAGACTTTTAGTCTGGAAGGACTATGCTAATAGAATGGATTGGGGCAAGGAGGAAAATCTGTTGAGATGGTGCTGTGTTAAGCTGTGCCTTAATTTAGTCAATTTAGTGGAAAGAAGAGAAAATGTTGTCATTTGTAGTGTGTAGAGGACTTTAACTGTATTATTTCCCTATTTACTTGTGTTAGTTGCTGTACTTCTAATGCCTTGTTGTTGGATCTATTTCAGACTTTGGGGTTAGTGCTTTTTTAGCAACTGGTGGTGATATTACCCGAAATAAAGTGAGAAAGACGTTTGTTGGAACTCCTTGCTGGATGGCACCTGAAGTTATGGAACAGGTACTCTTTGTCCTTTGTCTTTTAAAGATGGTTTAGGGTTTTTGTTACAGAATGGAAAACCAGAGCGGTGTCTGCTTCTGTTTGGGACACAGGTCCCCCTCACTGAACAATGCGGTTTGTGCCTATGAGGACTTTTGGGAGCTGAGACGGTGCAAAGCGAAGAAGCGATTACCTTTCATTGATTGGGAAAAGTTGTTTAGCGTTCCCAGACCTAAAAAATAACCTCCCTGAGGCTTCTCTGATGCCAGAGAACACATCTTGCTGTTGGATGCACAGAATAACCGGAGAGAAAGAGCAGATGCCCACACACTTCCCGGCTCCGACGGCCTGACGCCGTGCGTGGCTCCTGGGGACCGAGCTGGGCGCCACCGGTCTCTCCACGCCGCCTCCGCCACGGCCGGCCGCCCACGCTGAACTCCGCTTTCGCTTTTTGCCTTTTTTCACAAACGTGGAAATCCTCCAGGTTTCTTTCAATAAAGTAGAAACAGGCACGACTGTAGGTCTTCCGTGTGAGCCAGATGGCTTTAACGGGAACTTCCAGAAAGTAGAGGATGCCTGTGCCACGTTAGCTGTGGGAGATGCGTGTCTCTGCCCTTGGTTAAGGCGGCCATGCACTCTTTAGAACAACAGCAAAAAGCCTCTCGATCTTTCTAAGTGGTCTGTAAAACTGGAGCTTTCTACCCCGCCCAGCCTGAGCAGTAGTATAATGAAGACTGGTTCAGCACTCGGGCCCACGTGACCAATTACATGCCCTCATCTTTTGCTCACAACTCCATTTCCGTTTGCTCGGAAACCGCTGCGCTCAGCCAGCCGCGTGCGGGGGCTGCTGTTCTCAGCCCGCCCCGTGTCGGATTCCTTGTCCCGCTCGTTGGCTTTCGGCCTCCGCTCCCCTCGTCTCATTCTCCCCCTTCCTGTCGGGCCGCTTCTCCGACTCCTTCTCTGCCTTTCCCTCTGTGTCCCCGGACCTTGTTCTCGAATTCTTCTCTCACTAATGTGTCTCATCTCCACTTCCCACCTGTTACATTTGCTAAAGTATGTCCATGCCGGTCTTTCTTCCTAAGCCTCAGCTCCACAGGGATATTTACATACATGTCCTAGAAATAGACGAAAGTCGGGATGTCGAACCGAATCCACTTTCAGTGCCTACGATGGCTGTACTGGCCCAGTGGGCGGGGAGGCGTCCGCACCCTAGGGGAGCTCGTGCGGGGCCCACAGCACCTGGTTCTGGGCCAGGGAGACCGACGGCACGCTGGTGGTCGCACATGCGCGTGGCGGCAGGGAGGACACGCGTGTCAGCGGGGGCTGTGTTCGGGAGGACAGTGAGTGGACAGTTGCTTTTTGTGTCAAGAGAGTGAGGTGGGCCTGCGTTTCCCGGTGACGGTGTGATTGGCTTGTCTGAAGGCCTCTGAGGGCGGGCGGAGCTGGGGCTGGGGGACCTTATCCTCGGGAGCAGGCTGGAGGGGGCACTTGCACTTGGCTCATCAGAGGTCCACCCACCTACCGGGGGTCAAGGCAGCACATCGTGTGGGCTTTAATTAATTTCAGGCGTCACACTACACCTCCCCCCCACACCCTCAAGCCTATTTCTTGTCCTGTGTTGCTTAGGATGGGAAAGAAAAATATTTAACTTTATAATGTGCTCGTGACAGTATAAAAGGAAAGAAATTTGGCAACACACATTAAGAACTTTGAAAAAATTCACACCCCTTATATCTTTTTTCATCATAAAAGTTACATTATCGAACAGGTTAAAACAGTACCGTAACGGGTTAAAACAATACCGTGACAGAGAAAATTTGGAGAACAGGACTTACCACTGGGCTATCTATCAATTTTGTTCTAGTTCTTTTTCTAAAAAAAAAAAAAAAAAAAAACGAAAAAAGAAAAACAAAAAAACCATATAGAGGGGCGCCTGCGTGGCTCAGGCAGTTAAGTGTCTGACTTCGGCTCAGGTCATGACCTTGCAGTTTATGGGTTCGAGCCCCATGTTGGGCTCTGTGCTGATAGCTCAGAACCTGGAATCTGCTTCGGATTCTGTGTCTCCCTCTCTCTGCCCCTCCCCAGCTCATGCTCTCTCAAAAATAAACATTAAAAAATTTTTAATAAAAAATTTAAAAAGGCAAATACATTCTGTACTTTTATAATAGTATCCAAACTTGTGAAGAATTTTGTACTCTTTTTTCTTCATAAATGCTTTATCACAAGTAGTTTTCCATATTTTTAGATAGAATTCATTTACATTGCTTTTAGTTGACTAGTTAACATTTCATTGGACTGAGTGTACCATACTTAACAATTTCACCATTGTTGGGGGACGTTTATTCAGATTGCTTTTTCTTCCCCTGTTAACCAAGTATATTTAGCTTTTGCTTACTCTGGATTATTGGTTTAAAACTTATGAATGCTTCCGTTGGGCGCCTGGACGGCTCAATTGGTTGGGAGTCCGACTTCAGCTCGGGTCATGATCTCACGGTTTGTGGGTTTGAGTCCCATGTTGGGCTCTGTGCTGACAGCTGAGAGCCTGGAGCTGCTTCGGATTCTGTGTCTCCCTCTTTCTCTGCCCCTCCCCTGCTCATGCTGTCTCTGTCTCTCTCTCTCTCAAAAATAAATAAGCTTTAAAAAATATTTTTAATTAAAAAAGCTCATGAACACTCTGATGGCTTTTGATAGATGTTAGAAGCTTACTTTCGAAAGTGCTTTCAGGGGCACCTGCCTGGCTCAGTCAGAAGAGTGTGTAACGCTTGATACCTGGGTTGTGGGTCCAAGCCCCATGCTGGGTGTAGAGATTACTAAAAAGAGAAATAAAATAAGATAAAAGTGCTTTTACGGTGGCAAAAGCAATCACATACCTCTTCCTGGTCTTTACAGGTCCGAGGCTATGATTTCAAGGCGGACATCTGGAGTTTTGGGATCACAGCAATTGAACTGGCCACAGGGGCAGCCCCTTATCATAAGTATCCACCAATGAAGGTGAGGTTCACAGCCAGCACCCTGCCCCAGCCCGTCCCAGTTTTGTTCAGAGACTAATCCTACCATAAATGGATTGGAAAAGGGTATGTTGTTTAACTGTAAAGTGGGAAGCTATTTTGAGGCAAAGGGATGGTTTACTTTTTAAAGCGGGGGAGCGGAGGAGATGAGGTTCACGTTTCACCCATTACCGGCCGTGACGCCAGAATTGGAGCCAGACATAGACACATGTTAACCTGTTTGCTCAAAGTGAGAAATATCTCCAGCTTTTAGTACTTCCATTTCAGCAAATATAAATTTAATCTGAAAAGCAAGTATTAATTGTGACTAGAGCCCCTTTTTATTCTTTAGTGTTGACTCTGTATTCAGAAAAATGGCTTGGCTTGTGGGGCGCCTGGGGGGCTCAGTCGGTTAAGCGTCTGACTTCGGTTCAGGTCATGATCTCCCTGTTGATGGGTTTGGGCTCTGTGTCAGGCTCTGCACTGACAGCTCAGAGCCTAGGTCCTGCTTCGGAGTCTCTGTCTCCCTCCCTCTGTCTCTGTCCTTCCCCTACGTGTGTTCTCTCTCTCAAAAATAAATGAATGAATTTAAAGAAAACAAATGAAACATGGCTTATCTTTTATTAAAAAAGGCACACAGTCTAGAAAGCCACAGATCACCTCAAATGCCACCACGTAAGTAATTACCTTCGTTACAAAGAAGGAAGAGATTTAGGATGGACAGAGTAACTGAAACAGTTACTGCAGAGAAGGCGGAAGAGAGCGACCGGGAGGAGGCTGCAGGCCTCGCAAGCAGGCGCGTCAGTGACTCCCGTGATAGAAGCGCCGGGAAGCACGGGCCGGTTACAGAGGTCCTGCTGACGTGGAGCCACGGATAGGCCAGGCAGCGGGGCCCCGCTGTTGTGCCACGGTTTTATTTATTATTTTGTTTTACTTTTTTATTTTGCTATGATTTTACTTTTATTTATTTTTAAATGTTTATTTTTGAGAGAGTGCAAGCGAGAGAGGGGCAGAGAGGGGGACAGAGGAGCCCAAGTGGGCTGTGCACTGACAGGCTGACAGCAGCGAGCCTGAGCCTGACGCGGGGCTCAAACCCCCGAACTGTGACATCGCGCCCTGAGCTGAAGTCAGATGCGCAACCAACTGAGCGCCCCCCCCCCGCGCGCGCCCTGATTTTACTGTTTTTTTTTTTTTTTTTAAAGTACTTTGGTAATATAAGAATGGGGACAGAGGGGGCGCCGGGGGGGCTCAGTCGGTGAAGTGTCCGACTCTTGATTTCAGCTCAGGTCATTATATCGCTCTTTGGGAGTTCAAACCCCACACCAGGCTCTGTGCTAACAGTGCAGAGCCTGCTTTGGATTCTTTCTCTCTCTCTCTTTCTCTCTCAAAATAAATAAATAAAAGGAAAAACAGAATGGGGACAGAGGACCTGAAGAAAGGGTTCTTTTTTTTTTTTTTAATGTTTATTTTGAGAGCAGGAGAGCGTGAGCAGGGGAGGGGCAGATAGAGAAGGAGACAGAGAATCCAAATCAGGTCCTGCTCCATCAGCGCCAAGCCCGATATGGGGCCCAAGCCCGCCAACCGTGAGATCATGACCTGAGCCAAAGTCGGACGCTGACCAGACTGAGCCCCCAGGCGCCCCGTGGAGGAAGGTTTCTAACTAAGGGGCAGTCATTGCCAGTGCTGTTGAGCCCTTGCAGGCACGTGACCTAGGAAGCCAGCCGTCTGTAGGATATTACCTGTGTGGAAAAGACCTGAATAACACTGTGTTCCAGACACTGGGGCTAGCTGTGAACCCTCAGAAAATACAGCCTCCTCATGGATTGTGAGGTTGCCTATATTGGAGAATGTTGGCCACAGTACTTTACTGAGCGTGTAGGAGTTTATGTTGTATCGGAAATTCTTCCAGGTTTTAATGCTGACACTACAAAATGATCCTCCTTCTCTGGAAACGGGCGTTCAAGATAAAGAAATGCTGAAAAAATACGGAAAATCATTTAGGAAAATGATTTCATTGTGCCTTCAAAAGGATCCAGAAAAAAGGTAAAGGAGATAAAGCTTACGTTTGTCTTCATCAAACATGTAAACCATTGTGGGAAGTCTAAGTACCACATACACACATTTATGTGCAGGAAATTGTTTCCGCATATTCAGGTATATTTACATAAGTATAAGCTTTAGAAAAAATATGCAGAGATTATTACACTAGATTGGAAATGAATTAATTAGTTACTTTCCTCCCTTCTTCTTTTTTTTTTTTTTTAAATATTTTTTATTTATTTCTAGGAGAGAGAGAGACAGCATGAGCAGGGGAGGGTCAGAGAGAGAGGGAGTGACACACTCTGAAACAGGCTCCAGGCTCTGAGCTGGCAGTCAGCACAGAGCCCGACGCGGGGCTCGAACCCACGAACCGCGAGGTCATGACCTGAGCGAAAGTCGGACGCTTAACCAACTAAGCCACCCGGGCGCCCCTCCTCCCTTCTTATTAGTATACAGTGTGTATTCTAAACAGTTCAGCTATTTCCTGGTTAGGATTTTATACATTTGTACATTGTGAACTCTGTTAATACCAAGTTAGTGGGAGAACTTGTTTTCAATTTGTGCGTAAAAGTCATAAGCAGACAAGTATCTTAATCCTGTTTACAATTTTAATAACAAAGGAAATACACATAGCCAATGTTATATCTACTGCCACATAATCATATATGCATTTCCTTATTGGAAAGGTTTTAAGAAGTGTACCAAAGATTCAAAGCCATTACTTGTTTACACTAGACAGATTGGATGGCAAGTAAGTCAATAAACATGGTCTGATGGGTGTCTCTCTATGAATTAAACAGAATCAAATAATGTTGGAAGTCACTGAGTACAGCCTTTTATCTGTGAGGTCAACCAGCTACCTAGTCATTGAGGTGGGACTTAAATCCAAAACTTCTGATTCTGAACTAGGTTCAGTTTTTTCTATATCTCATTTTTCTGGTTTACATGTATATTACACTGTTTTTTAGCACTAAGAGTTTTTGAATTTTGATTTCTGTAAAAATCAACAAAAATAAAAGATTGTAATTGACATCCTTAGTCATGTCCTTAGTATACTTAGTGGGGCTTCAGAATTTATTGCCAGCAGTATTGGAAAGGGTAGGAAAAATAGGTAGCAGAGGCCAAACTTGTGCTATTAGAACTTTGTTTCTGAACAAATTGGTATAAAAGAGGGAGACTTTTGCTTCTGCTTTAGTTAATTAACTAAAATAACAGAATTCTTTTGTTACAAACACCTATAAATGCTGAATAAATTTATCAAACTTAAGAATAAAAACCAAATCCAGAGATAAGTTTACCATGAAGGGAGGCCCTCAGGTGCCAAAAATCATGAGGGAGACCTAAGTCAGAGAAGAAATGTCATGAGCTAATCCTGTGGCTGCCCTCAGTGGGACCCTGTTCATTTTAATAACCTACTGGGTTAGATTTCAAACTCCCACGTGGGACTGGAAATGAGATACTGGGTCTGGCCACCGAGGATCCAAACTGACATCCCTGCTTAAGACTAAGACTTCCACAAGCCGGCCTTCTGAGTAAAAGGATGGTTCGGAAAACAAAATATGTGTCCATCATCACAAAACACGGCAAAAATTTCTCTTGAATAATCAAATCCTCTGGCTTGGACATTGTGTGGGTTGACAGTCTGAATTTATACTACCCATATTATCCAGGAACCCACAAGATTAGAGAGTAAAAAAAAAAATATTGCCAAGCCAGTTTTATTTCTGACAGAAGCTACTAGAAAACTATACTGTTCAAACTGTTCCAAACTCGAGATCCAGGAGATTCCTGCAGGTAATGCCCCATTGAAGAGACCACAGTCCGAAATTATAAGGCACACAGTAAGATACTGCACAGCAAACTGGAGTCCATAGCCACAGCAGGCAGAAGAATTAGGGCCCCAGGATCTTTGGGTAATGCAGAGATTATTTAAAATACTTAAACTCCTAGTGGAAGGAATCAAAACCATAAGAAAAGAATGTGACTATGACCAAGAAAACAAAACAAATGAAGCTGCTTAGAAATGAAAAGTACAGTAATAAAAATGTAAAACTTAATGGAGTCCCTTGACTCTAGGTTAGACTTCGTGTCTTGCTTCTGATGAATAGAGTATGAAAAAGGAAAAATAGTAGCTTTAGAGCAGACAGACGTGGTGGACAGCTCCTTCACAAGTGATCCAGGCTAACATCACCAGGAAGAAGACATACTGATTATGATATTCTCCCCGATATAAGGTGAAGGGCATATCACCTCGGAAGTGTTCCTTCCCCAAATCTTTAACTTCAGTCTGTAGTGACAAAACATCAGACACACCCAAATTGAGGAATATGCTACAGACTCCCTGACCGGCACTCTTCACAAGTAAGGAAAGGGATGCCTGAGAAAGTGTCCCAGATTGGAGGAGATTAAGGAGACATGAAGACTAACTGAAACATGGTGTCCTGAATTAGCTTGTGGAACAGAAAAGGACGTTATGCAAACCTGGGGAAATCTGAATAAAGTCTACAGTTTATAGTGTTACACCAATATTAATATGTTAAAGGCTGTAAGTGGGGTGCCTGGGTGGCCCCATTAGTTAAGTGTCCGACTCCAGCTCAGGTCGTGATCTCATGGTTTGTGGTTTTGAGCTCCATGTCGGGCTCTGTGCAGACAGCTCGGAGCCTGGAGCCTGCTTCAGATTCTGTCTCTCTCTCTCTCTCTGCCCCTCCCCAGTGTGTGGGCACGGGCTCTCTCTCAAAAATAAATAAATATAAATGTTAAAAAAAATAAAGTCTATAATAGTATAGGAGTGTTAATGTTTTTAGTTGGGTTGACATCTTGATAATTACACCATGGTTATATAAGATGTTCGCATTAGGGGAAGCTGGTGATGCATATGTAGGAACTCTGTAGTGTCTTTGCATCTCTTCTGTAAGCCTAAAATTATTTCAAAATAAAAAAGTTTTTTAAAAAAGAAAAATATCTAGAGGCTGTAGAACATCTATTTCCAGTTTGTAAGCCAAAATTATACCTTGTTTAGAACACTTCTAAGTTAAGAAAAAAATTTAGATGGGTTGGTTAAACAGAACAGTCAATAAAACACACTAAAAGAGAATTATTTATTGGCTACTAATCAAGTTACCAGGTACTGTTGTAAACACTTGACATAAATCATTTTAGCATATATCATCCCTTGAGGATGACACTGTTAACTTCACTGTTTTATGAATGACACTGAATCACAGAGAGGTTAAGTAACATTGCCCAGAGTCACACAGCTAACGGATTTTGGAGCTAGGATTGAATCCCATGCAGTTTGACTGCAGAGTTCCGGCTCTTACTCAGTCACATGACATTGCGTTGAGGAAATGGCTCAGAGTGCAACACAGAACGATTAAAAAAAAATGGAAATGTAAAAGAATGATGAACATAAGGGGATAGAATAGGAAGGTTCAGTATGAGTGTGTGTTTGCACGCGCGTGCACGCACATGTACATACACGTACACACACGCACGCACGCATACATAAAGACTTTCCAGGAGAGATTAGAGAGAACGGGAGAAGCAATAGTCAAAGAAATAATGGCTGAGAACTTTGTAGACTTGGTGAAATACCTATAGCCTTAGATTAAAGAACCATTCCCCCCAATTCCAAGCAGCATTTTGCGTTTTCCCATTTGTACACAAATCATGAAAGACAGAGGCAAAGAGAATGTTAAATGCAGGCTGAGGGGGCAGATTACCTACTGAGGAATAGCGGGTAGACTGATAGCCACTTTCCCAGTAATAATCAATCGAGGCCAGGGTATACTGGAATAATGCTGAGAGAAAATAACTGTTAACCCAGAATTCTCCGCCTAGTCAAACTCTTACTCAAGAATAAGCATGAAATTAAGATTTTTTTCAGACAGAAATTTCCAATCATGTTTTATCACTTAAACAATTCATATAAATTGTACTTTATCAATATTATTCATAATGAAGGAAATACAAATCAAAACCACACTGAGATACCGTCAGAATGGCTAACGTTAACAACTCAGGCAACGACAGATGTTGGTGAGGATGCAGAGAAGGAGGAACTCTTTCTCACGGCTGGTGGGAATACACACTGGTGCAGCCTCTGGCAAACAGTGTGGAGGTTCCACAAAAAATTAAAAATAGAACTCCCCTACGACCCAGCAATTGCACTACTGGGTATTTGTCCAGAGGATACAAAAGTGCTGATTCTTCAGGGCACACGCACCTCAGTGTTTCTAGCAGCGCTCCCGACAGTAGCCGGAGTATGGGAAGAGCCCCCGTGTCCATCGACTGAGCGATGGATAAAGAAGATGTGGGATGTGTGTATGATAGATTATTATTTGGCAGTCAAAAAGAGTGAAATCCTGACATCTGCAACAATGTGGATTGAACTAGAATGTGTTATGCTACGCGAAAGAAGTCAGAGAAAGATATATAATTTCGCTCATGTGGAATTTAAGAAACAAAACAATGAACATAGGGGAAGGGAAGCAAAAATAAGATAAAAACGGAGAGGGAGGCAAACCATAAGAGACTGTTACACACAGAGAACAAACTGAGGTTGCCAGAGGGGAGGTGGGAGGGGAAGGATAAATGGGGGCCGGGCACGAAGGAGGCACTTGTTGGGATGAGCACTGGGTGTTCTATGTAAGTGATGAATCACTGAATTCTTTTCCTGAAATCATCATTACAGTATACGTTAACTAACTTGGATTTTTAAAAAATTATATATATATATATATATATATGTATGTACATACATATAATAGTACTTTAGAAAGAAGGAAATGAGCCCAAAAGGAAAGGATGAATCATAAGAAGCAGTGTGGTGCAAACGGTTGAACTTGCGGAAGCCTTGTCTGAATGAGAACAAAGCGGGGGCAGGGTCTACGGGCAGGTGGCATGGCACAGTCACATCCGTTTTCTCGATCCGCTTTGAAGCCCTGGATCCCGAGCATGAATGCACATTAAAATCACCTTGGGAATTTTAAAAACTACTGATACCCCCCGCCCGCCATTCGGCTTTAATTGGTATGGGGTACGGCCTGGGCATCGGGATTTGTTTTGAAACTCCCAGATAGAATAGTGCATGGTAATATTTAAGAACCACTGCCTTCAGGGGCTTGACCAGGTAATACAGAACCTCGAGAAGAGATTTGCTCAGAGTTACATAGTAGTGGGGTGTGGGGTATAATCAGGTCCAGTCTCTTAAGTGTAGTGTTGTTTATTCTTTATTTTCAATCATACTACTTAAAAGTTTCTACAGTTGACAGTGATGATGTCTTTCTCTTTAACAGTTGAGTTAAAAACTGAATTTAGATTCAGTTTGGGGGAATATATGCATTACTTTTAGAATCATCAGGTTTTTTTAAGGCAACTGTGAGATTGTGTGTGTGTGTGTTGAGATAGAGGGCAAGCAGAGGAGGGGCAGAGAGAGGGAGAGAGAGAATTGTAAGTAGGCTCCATGCCCCGCACCGAGCCTGATGCAGGGCTCAGTCTCACAATCGTGAGATCACAGCCTGAGCTGAAATCGAGTCAGACGCATAACCAACTGAGCCCCCCGGTGCCCATCAGACCTGTTTCTAAGAATATGTATTTATATAAGTGAAGGCCGACAAGCAGCCACAGGGCAAGAAGCACAGCACTTGATTTGGTCCCTTTCCTCTTTGTGAGATTAAATTTATTTGTGTGACTTGTTAAAGTAGATATTGTCTATATTATCAGGAAATAATACTCTTGGGAAAATAATAGGAAGTATATTGGAAGCCACTAAGAAATGATGATTCCAAAGGAAACATTTCACTAGTGCATTTTGCAAAGAACCTGCAATAATTATTATCAGAACATTTCTATTTGAGTTTTCTTCTCAATGTCTTGTACCGAGTTTATCCTGCTTTTTGCTTTTTAGCCCATTAAGGAAAGTGGAGAACACTGAGATTTATCTTGCTGCTCAAGAAATCATTTTCTCATTTTTGAAGATGGAAAGCTACAGTTACACTTGAATTAACTATTAAAACGTTCTTTTCTGGTTTTAGACCAACAGCAGCAGAACTGTTAAGGCACAAATTTTTCCAAAAAGCAAAGGTAGGAAATTCTAACTTTTGAGTTTGCATGTTCATGTGACCCACCCCAGTTACCTAACTTAGATTCACCACTCGGAAGTTGCTTTATCTTAAGATAATGTTTGGAAAAGTGATGGTAGATCAGATCATTGCTGGCTGCATTATGTGTGCAGCCTTTGATAATTAAGACACATGCTTTAGAATTGGCAAATGTATTTTTCATATAAATTAATTTAAACATCAGGTTAAACTTACAACAAGAACAATGAATATTGCCATTGTAAATATAGTCTGCAAAAAATACCAAACTCTCATTTCAAAGGTTTTACTACTGAACTTAGTAAACCTCTCATTTCCCAAGATAACAGGTAAGTGGGATGTAACTGTAATTTGAAGTGTGGGACCCTGATCCTAAAGGACCGAGGGGAAAGCAAGCTCTTCATTGATGATATTCATACAGTACACTAAAGCTCTGTCTCAATTTGTGAAGCCATGGTAGTAATGTACTAACGGAGCTTCAGAATAAAAGAATGGAAGCTTCCCTCAAATTTCTTTATAAAACAACTCCTGTATCATTTTAATTATAGTGAATATTCTGTGTTAATTTCTATGGCTCAATAAAAGCTTCTTATTTTAAGAAGAAAACTCGTTTTTCCTCTGCAGAATAAAGAATTTCTTCAAGAAAAAATACTGCAGAGAGCACCAACTATTTCTGAAAGAGCTAAAAAGGTAAATGGGGATTTAACTCCAGTTTCCTAGGAAATTGGTTAGAGTACATTTACTTTTGCATTTTGAAAGTATATGTTAAGTAATTCTTTGTTAATAGTGTGTTACTCATTTTTTTTCAATCCTTTCTTTAGCATCCTTTGATACATTTATTCATCAGATATCGTTAGTCTACAGTATGCCTGTGTGAGCTGTCTACTAGAATGAAAAGGGATGTTACACAATTGATGAGTTAGTTCTAGACTCTGTTAAATCCCTGTTTGTAGCTACCAGAGTGAATTGGGAAGTCGGGCCCTTTCCTCACACGACACAAAAACAACGAAGCCCCACGGGGTTGACTATAATAGGAAAGACAGGACAGTAGCGAGTGTCGAAGATGTAGGGAAGCTGGAGCACTCCCACGCTAATGACAAAAACATGAGGTGGTGCAGAAGGTCGTCTGGCAGTTTTCTCAAAAGACTAAACCAGGCTGCCGTGTGCGCCAGCGGTCCCGCTCCTGGGCACACCTGGAGTGTCGGAGACACGCACACACAGCGATGTGCAGGAATGTCCCGCAGCGTCGTTCCTCAGAACCGAGATGTGGAAACGGCCTCAGTCTCCATCCGCTGGTGAACAGGTGTATAAAATGTCACGTGTCCATACGACGACGTATTACGCATCAGCAAAAAGAAATTAAGTACTGATACATGTCATAACGTGGATGAACCTTTAACCTTTAAAACGTTATGCTAATCATAAGACGCTGGTTATAAAAGACCACGTATTCCCTGATTATGTGAAATGTCCAGAATAGGCAACTGTCCAGAGACAAAGGAGATTCAAGGTTGTCCAGGACTGAGAGGATTGTACAGGGGTGGGCAGTGACCGCTAATAATAATATTATGTGGTGGTTTTTGCGGCATGGGGGAGTGAGGAAAGTGATGTAGATTTAATTGTAGAGATGGTTTCACAGCTCTGAAAATACTAAAAATTACCTGTATTTTTATTCAAGTGAATATACTTGAATTATTTACCTTAAATGGTATTATATGGTATATGAATTATTATCTCAATAAAGCTGTTACTTTAAATGTTTTTTTAATGTTTATTTTTGAGAGAGAAGGAGAGCACAAGTGGGGGACAGGTAGAGAGAGAGAAGGAGACACAGAATCCAAAGCAGGCTCCAGGTTCCGACCTGTCAGCACAGAGCCTGATGTGGGGCTTGAACCCACAAACCATGAGATCATGGCCTGAGCTAAAGTCAGACGCCTCACCAGCTGAGCCACCCAGGCGCCCCTAAATAGCTGTTACTTTAAAAAAGGAGCATGCAGACGGTGATGCATCCATGAACAAACAGCTCTTGGAAATTGAAAACATCAGAGAAGAAATGAAAATATTCAATACACAGGTTGTATGGTACAGCTGAGGAAATTTCCCAGAAAACAGACCCCAAATGGCCGAGAGAGAGAACAGGAGAAAAAGGCAACAACATTAGAGGATCATCTGAGAAAGTTCAGTCTTTGAGTAAAGAGTTCCAGAAAAGTAGAACCAAGAAAAACTGAAGAAGGGAAGTCACCAAAGAAACAATTCAAGGAAAATTTCTACAACAGATAGTCATGAATTTCCAGATCGAAAGAGCCCGAGCTCTGAATGGAATGACCAGTGCAATGAATGGAAATAGACCAGCACTAAGACACATTGCCATGCTGGCTCAGAATACTGGAGGCCAAAACAAAAAATCCTATGGCTTCCACAGAAGGGAGAAAGGTCAGGGACTGCTCCTCTGGAAGCTGGGTCACCAGGAAGTAGTTGTGTGCAACATGATGATAGAAAGTTTTCTACTGACCCAGACTTGTTTTTACCAGGCAAACTATAAGTGAAGTGTAGGGATGGAATCGAGAAAATTGAGAAATGTATGGCCGTAGTCAATGTGCTAATAACGGAGGAAGTGCTTAAACTGAGAACAAGTAAGGCATGTGGTCCAGGAGACACGGTCCTCTGTCTCACGATAGAGTGAGGTCTGAAGTCTAGAGCTGGTGTGAAACCAGTCTAGGTGGGAGGCTCCGGTGAGGGTCTTCCTAAGGAAGGTGATCCTAATAAGTACTTAATAATGTATATGAATATGGTGAGAGGAGATTTACACAGAGAATTTGGGCATAAATATGACAAGTACATAAAAATAAGCAAATACTAACTCTGGGGGAAACATAAAAGCTATACAGGAGAGAGAAGCAAATGTAATCAACAGTAAGGCTTAACTGTATTGTTAATCATGCCATGGAAACACAGAATTTTGATTTCATAAAAATCACAATGTATCTTGAGAAAAGAGTGAGAGGGGTTGATAATAGGATTAAAATTATCATCTTTTATAGTGTGAAGTCCAGTAGATAGTTCCTAAAAAGAATAAGCTAAAATGAGTTGAAAGTGATTCCCTGTAAGAGGATAAAAGTTAGGAAATTGCTGTTTTTCTTAACGAAACGTGCACAGGTATAGTACTCTTGAAACTGCAGGTATAAATGTGATTTTTAAAATTAAAAAGAAAAAAGCAGAATCTTCCTTATCTTGGATTACTTGGGGGCTGAAAAATTTTTACACCTCTCAGAACATAAAACCATTAATAAGATGTGGTCTGTGACTTCACGTAAGAAGGATCTGAATGGTGTTAGGGAAAGTTAGTGGTGGGAGTAAAGACCGGGAGTGGAGCACAGGATGCGTAGAGGATGTGTAGTGAACGCCGAGCACTGCCGGCGTCCACACGTCTCTTCCTAACGTGCAGGTTCGGAGAGTGCCGGGGTCCAGTGGCCGCCTTCACAAGACGGAAGATGGTGGCTGGGAGTGGAGTGATGATGAATTTGATGAAGAAAGTGAGGAAGGGAAAGCGGCCATTTCACAACTCAGGGTAAGTGTTAGTAAACTGTGCTGTAGCTAGAACTCTCTGTTTTTGTCTGAAGCCTCTGAGATGTGCTGTATTCTTTGGTTCTGTTCAGCGTGACAGCTAAAACGTGAAAAAGACAAGTGTGAGCCATAGAATTTCCTTGAACAAGCTATTAACAATAGGAGCCTATTTAATTCTACATGGAAGAGTGGACTGACACATGTGTTTGAACGTATTTAGGGCATATAAAAATGACCAAAATCTAGACATGGGGACTTCTGTGTCTGAGATGAGAATGCACTGGATAGGCTAAACGGCTGGGTAGACATCGCAGAAGAGATTATTGAACTTGAAAGACCAACAGTCAAAATTTTTTCCCCTGAGGTCAGCTAGCCTCCTGCCTGAAGAAGAACAATGTCCCTTTTTTCAGCTGGTATATCCTGGAGGGTGTGTGTGTGTGTGTGTGTCTGTGTGTGTCTGTGTGTGTGTGTGTCTGTGTGTGTCTGTGTGTGTGTGTGTGTGTGTGCGCGCGTGTGTAGACAGAGGTCTTGTTTTGGTTTTATTCCATCGCTCTTGCCTAGAGTTAATGTGGCAAGTTGACTGTCGGGACTCTTACCTAAGAATAGAAACATATATGAGAACTGTTAATGTCTGAGGTTCATCACAGCTTTGACCCTGGAACTGTTTTGAGGTGTGAGTGGCGGGTAGATGGTGCGTGTCTGCTGCTTGTGTAAGATCTGCTCTGTCATGGCACTCGTGACTTGCTGGCCCACACTAAAGATGTGTTGATCTCGTCAGCGGAAGTCTCCGAGCCTAGTCTTTTTGCAGAGCTAAGTTTGTAAAGACCCTGCTAATGAAAATTGGCAAAAATGTATTACGTTCTAACCTTGGAAAGCTCTTCAGGAGAGAATAGATATAAATATTTGTTTACATCTGATTGTGAGTTTATTAAAATGTGCGACTATGTAAGGAGGCCTTCTCCTTACTTTTTCCTATGATTCCTCCTTAAATCAGTATTCTTCTGTACTGTTCTGTTGAAGTGATCAGGGAGGAAGCGAGGGGTACGTGATGAGAGATGATGCAGTTTTCCTCTGACCGACACATAGTATGTGGGAAGTAAGTTACAGTGCTTCGGTAGCTGGTTATTACCCCCTAGCTATCTGTAAGAGAAATTTATTTAAAATTTTGTCATTCTGAAATACTTACAGGATTTTATAATCTAATACACTGATACGTAAACAGCATAAAAAATTAATACACTTTGTTCTCAGACTAAGTAGCTTTCTGTATTTCTCATGTTACTCTTATAGCCATTTTTGATGCTGTGAATTCTTTTGTGAAAAGGTCTTTTAAAACTAAATTGAACTACATTGAAGGTCTATGCCATGAGCAGGTGGGGTAGGGTGAAGGATGGTTCAGTATTAGGAAATCTTGTAATATTAATAGGCCTAAAGAGAGGACGAGTCATATTCTTATTTTTTATATGTTCCAAAAAACTTCACAAAATTCAGCACATATTCAAAATAGACTCTTACAGAGATCCAGATTTCTATCTTTATATCATTTCCTTTTTTGCTGAAGAACTTCCCTAAACGTTTTTTGTAGTGTGGATCTGCTGGTGATGATTTCTTTAGGTTTTTTGCCCACTAATGTCTCTGTTTCACCTTTGTTTTGAAAAGATACTTTTGCTAGATACAGAATTTTAGAACGATAGGCTTTTTCTTTTAATATTTTGAAGATGTTGTTTCACTGTATTCTTGTTTGCATTGTTTCCTTTGAGAAATCTGGTATCCCTTGTCTTGTTCTTTTATAAGTTACACGTCTTTTTACTCTTGCTGCTTTTAAGATTTTTTTTTCTTCTTTTTGAATGGTTTTTTGAGCAATTTGATTATGATAGGCCTGGGTATATTTATTTTCATGTGTCTGGGTGTATATAGGTTTTTATCTAGTTTGGAAATATTTTCAGCCATTATATTTTCTTTTTTTTTTTTTTTAACTAAAGTTTATATTAATGTTGGACTTTTTATTTTTCATTAAGTTATTTCTTTAATCTCAAGGTTTATGGTTTAGCATAATTACAAAGACTTTTTAAAGTTATATAAACTATTATATGATAAACCATATTGTCTCTTTAGCTTATTTTTTTCCTTATTTTTTCTTATTCTTTTTATTTTAATAGTTTATTGTCAAGTTGGTTTCCATATCATACCCAATGCTCATCCCCACAAGTGCCCTCCTCCATGCCCATCACCTCCCTTCCCCCCCCCCCCACACCCATCAGTCCTCAGTTTGTTCTCAGCATTCAAGAGTCTCTCATGGTTTGCCTCCCTCCCTCTCCCCCACTGTTTCCCCTTCTTCTCCCCCATGGTCCTACGTTAAGTTCCTCCTAATCCTCCTATACGTGCAAACATACAGTATTTGTCCTTCTCTGCCTGACTTACTTCGCTCAGCATAACACCCTCAAGGTCCATCCATGGTGCTACACATGGCCAGATTTCGTTCTTTCTCATTGCCATGTAGTATTCCATCATATAGATAAACCACTTCTTCTTGATCCATTTGTCTGTTGATGGACGCTTAGGCTCTTTCCATGATTTGGCTGTTGTGGAGAGTGCTGCTATGAACATTGGGGTCCGTGTGCCCCTAGGCATCAACACTCCTGTGTCCCTCGGGTAAATTCCTAGCAGTGCTATTGCTGGGTCTTAGGGAAGTTCTAGTGTTAATTTTTTGAGGAACCTCCACACTGTTTTCCAGAGGGGCTGCACCAGTTTACATTCCCACCAACAGTGTAGGAGGGTGCCCGTTTCTCCACATCCTCGCCAGCATCTAGAGTTCTCTGATTTGCTCATTTTAGCCACTCTATTAGCCATTATATTTTCAAATATTTTTTTCTGCCTTTCGTGCACCTGGAAACTCCAATAACCTACATATTAGGCTGCTTAAAATTGTCTGCCAGCTCACTGATTTTCTTTTTTAAAAATTCTCTTTTTACTCAGTCTCCTTTTGCACAGTTTCTATTGTGGGCCTTCAGATTCATTCATCTTTTCTTCTATAGTGCTAATCCCAGTCACTCTATTTCATATCACAGACATTGTAATATTTCAGAAGTTTGATTTCATCCTTGTTCATTTTTACACCTTCATGGTCTACTTAACTTTTTGAAGATACTGTGTGTTATAACTATTGTAGAGTTATAATAATTACGTTTAACGTCCTTCTCTGCTCTTTCTTCCAATTATGTCAGTTCTGGAGCAGTTTTATTTGATTGACTCTCCCCTTTGTTATGGCTTAAGGATTGTTTTCCTGAGTTGGGGACATAGGGCTAAGAGTCCAGGGAGGCGAACGCAGATGAAATCAGTAGAGCACCAGGGAGGAGAGCGCTGCCGCGGGGTCCCCGCGGGAGGGACCGCGCGTGGGACACCCTGCAGAGCGCCGGCACCAGAGTGCGGAAGCCGGGAATTCACCAGACGCCGAGCAGCACTCAGGGAGCTCGTCTGCGTAGCGGAGCGTGGAGCCCCAGGCTGGGCACCGCTCCTGCGCTAACCACCGGCTCACGCAGCCAGACCCAGAAGGGTTAGACTGTTTCCAAGTAATTGACCATATTCCAGAACAAAGCTCAAGGAGGTTCATAGAAATACAGGATTATCAGCACGCAACGAGGGAAAATTCACAGCACCTGGCATCTAGTCAGGGACTGCCAGGTATGCAGACAGCCAGGAAGACAAGAACAGTGGGCACACTTTATGCCCAGATCCTGGTCTCTAATGCCATTTTGTACTAAAAGAACAAGGGCACCTTGGAGAAACAGCTGAAAGTCATAATAATACAAGGGCCAGATCGAATGAGCTCCCAGTGACCAAATTAGAATTTAACTATCAAAATCCTTAAGTGCAGGAATAAATTGTAAGCCATTTATAAAATAGGAATCTATGAGTCTATGCCAATAAGGACTAGGTAGATAAATAAGTGGAGCAAAGGGATGGGTTTTCATCACAGTGAATTGCCAGTGCCAACTGGTGTGCGTAGAGGAGTATCGGAGGGCAAAATCCTCAGCGCGTAGCCATGGGAGCACTCATAAAAACTAGGTCAGGCAAGGGTCATCAGCGGGTGCTAAGTCTACTGGAGATTTTGTTTTTGGTTTTTGGCCTAGGGGGAATTTGTGATGAGCAGAATCTTTTCAGGGTCTTGAAGTGTCTTCTCCACAGACTGCTGATTAGTTGCAAAGGGGAAAACCGTTACCGCATCCTGGCCAACTTGGCAGGTGCCCTGACGAGCTGACGACAGTTAGCGTTATTGTGAAATTTACCGAGGTTGGTAAATGCAGTCGTGTGAAGTTAGAGAAGAGGGTACCCCTGTGTCAGGAACTGCATGGTGGTGCTCGGTGGTGGTGCTCGGTGGTGGTGCTCGGTGGTGGTGCTCGGTGCTGATCGGCCAGTTCTCGGAGAGCCCAGGAGCCACGCCCCTGGCTGGATAGACGTATTTAAAAAGAGAGAAAGTGAACATCTACACAATAAAGCAGATGAGGAAAAAAAGTTAAGGGTGGGTGAATCTGGGTCAAAGGTATACTTGTGTTCTTTGTTCTCATTCTGACAGAAATTTCTGTAAGTTTGAAATTATTTCCAAATATAAAGTTTAAAAGAAAACATTTTGGGTTGGCCATATATATACTTGCGGGTTGATTCTCTTTAATGAAACAGTGATGAAAACTTGAAAAAAAACCCTAAGCTGACCTTTTACATAGTCTAAATTTATGCTTGGTAGAATTTACCATAAATTAATATTTGTTTAGAGATATGTTAGGAGGTTGTTTTTTGGTTGCGGTTTTGGTTTTTTGTATCCTCCACTACCTGTATCCGGAGTCAGTACTAACTGTTACGGTTTACTAAATAAATTTAGCTTAGATTTTCAAATGGCAGATTATAAATTTGCCAAAATTTTCAGTTTGGGCTCAAGAGTTTTCTCCAGTTCAAGCCCATACCCCGAATTGCTCTGCTTTGAGGGGAGGGCATGTTGGATAATGAGCTAGAAGGCTTGCATTTGGTCTATGATATGATGCACATAATAACGTTCGTGATGAGTAGATAGGACTGTACTTTGAAGACTGTGACCTCCCTACTGCCTGAGAACTCCATCCCGCTATGTTTGCTTGTAAACCTCACATTGGGGACTCAAACTACCATAGAACATTCATGTATTAAAGGGTCCCTGCACAAAGAATGTAATAGCATCATGATGTTTTCTTTTTCCAGAAAACTTTCCCTGGAGTCACCACTGACTTAGTGGGTCAGAATGAAATGGAGTTTACTTGCATTTCAACATTCAGTGCAGTTTGAAGTAACCTAAGTTTTGAATTAATAAGCCTTTTTTGTATTTCTTTTAGTCTCCCCGAGTGAAAGAATCATTATCAAATTCTGAGGTAAGTAGTTGTGGTTTTTGAATCATTAAAGTGTATGTGCTTTTGTTTTGGTTTGGTTTTAATGGTAAGTACTTTTTTTTATATATATATGTGCCTAAATGGGAATGAGAATTTAGAGCAGTCAGATTTCATCAGAGCTATCGATGCTGAGTTTGAACTGACTTCTGCAGTAAGTTGGTGTCGTTGCACGCATTTTAAAAGTTGGCCTGGGGGCGCCTGGGTGGCTCAGTCCATTAAGCATCTGACTTCGGCTCAGGTCATGATCTCACAGTTCGTGGGTTTGAGCCCTGCATCGGGCTCTGTGCTGACAGCTCAGCCTGGAGCCTGCTTTGGATTCTGTGTCTCCTCTCTGCCCTCCCTACCTTGCACACACATACACACACACACACACACACACACACAAAATCATACACACTCTCTCTCTGAAAAATAAACGTTAAAAATATAATGAAAAGGTGGCCTGGAGGCCAAGAAAGTTCTCTTTTCCTTTCCTACATGACTTTATGAATCAGTTTTTTGGCTTGGGCCACTTGAAGTACAAAGTTGTCTTTATGCATCAGCCTGTCCAGGAATTTGTCATATGCTACCTGTCCTTTTTGGGTTTTACTCCCCCCCCACCCCCCTTCAGCATCTCCTCGTGTCGTATACATTGTGCTGTCTTCGGGTATTGCCTCATTATGATAGGGAGCCCTGCTGAACAGAATCCCATGGGGCTGGCCTGCCTTAGGTTCATTTTGCAGAGATGACAGTCATTTCAGGGATGTGTCCTGTCACACGGTCCTCCTTTGGCAGCATCTGCGCTCCAGGCTCGGTCCTTGGTTTAACGATACACATCTTGACCCGTTACATCAGTTTGGTTTTGCCCCTGTGCTTAAAGCAACTATTTTCCCACTTGATTTGTGTGCATAGTGTACAGTTTGTGTGCACAGTTATGTACAGGATTTGCTTACATGGTACCGTATTGTTTAAGACTGAGAATAAACACTGTGCTTCCACATGTTAACAGGCCGGTTACCTCAGAACTTAGCTCAGAGCTGCGGTTCACCGGGGCTCAGGGGCCCTCTCCTTGCTGCCCGGTAGAACCGCGTCTCCCTGCCCCCTGAAGCTCCCCGTGGCCGTGCCAGTTGTTTTGGGCAATGAAATGTTAGCAGAAAGAAGAGCCTCTCTGTTGTCCCTGGTCCCCTCGCCCCTGCCTGCATCCCTGAAGGATGATACCAGCCTAGCCTCTGCTGGCCAGGGACAGACATGAAGTGCGTGCAAGAAATAACTTCTCTTCTAGTCTTCCGAGAATCGGAGATTTTTTCTGACTTACTCTAACCTAATCTAGATTAATTCTTGGTTTCTCCACAGGTGAGCGGAGAGGGTATCTTACAGGCCCCCAGAGTTGTTTGTGTGACCTTGCCCGCTTGCCTCCCTGCCCTTCCCACACGGCCTCTCGCGTGCCCGTGCTCGTACTTCAGGGCTCACTTCTTTGTTGTTCTGTTTGGAATTGTGGTGAAGTAGACAGAACACAAAAGTTACCCTCTTCACCATTTTTATGGGCACAGCTGAGCGACATTCGGCACATTCACCCTGTTGTGCCGCCATCACCACCATCCCACCCCGGATCAGCCGGCCCCCCGGCCCCCCACCCCGCCCAGCCCCTGGCAGCTACCATTCCACATACGCCTCATGGAAGTGTGGTCACAGCCGGTCCTGAGGTTGCCGTATTTCACTTACCATGAGGCCCTCTGGGTTCATCCACGTGATCTGTGTCAGAATTGCCTCCTCCCTCCCTTTTTAAGGCCAAATAATAATACTCCGTTGTATGTACAGATCATATTTGTTCTTCCTTTCTTGGGTTGCTTTCACCTTTGGGCTGTTGTGAATATTCCAGAGTGAACACGGCTACACAAATACCTGTTCGAGGTCTTACCTTCCATTCTTCGGGACTTGGGGCTCACCCAGAGGGAGATGCTAGAGCATATGATGACTCTATTTTTAACTTTCCGAGGCAACCCCTTACTGTTTCCCACAGTAAAAATTTAAAAACTCTCTGTACCCAACATGAGGCTCAAACTCCCAATCCCAAGGTCAAGAACCACACAGCTCTGCCGACTGGGCCCACCAGTTGCCCCATCAATTTCAAAACTAACCTTAAGTTCTCTTTTTCCATCAAAATTCAGAACAAGAATTTTTTAAAAATTGTTTTCATCTTTATTTAATTTTGAGAGAGAGACAGAGCGAGAGCAGTGCTGACAGCACAGAGCCTGACATGGGGCTCGAACCCACGAACCATGAGATCATGACCTGAGCCAAAGTCGGACGCTTAACCGACTGAGCCACCCAGGCGCCCATTCTTTTTTTTAATGTTTATTTAGTTCTGAGGCAGAGACATAGCATGAGCAGGGGAGGGTCAGAGAGAGAGGCTGACACAGAATCGGAAGCAGCTCCAGGCTCTGAGCTGTCAGCACAGAGCCGACACGGGGCTCAAACTCACGAACCCCAAGATCAGGACCTGAGCCGAAGTCGGGTACCAAACCCACTGAGCCCCCCAGGCGCCCCAGAACCAGTTACTTTCATTTCATCTGTAAGAAGCTAAATGAACACAAAATGTTACTTCTTTGTCTCTCGACTTTGTTTATATACTGTCCGCTCTTATACCTCTCTTGTTGCCCTTCTACTTGTTTTCTCTTTCAGCTGTTAAATTTTAGGCAGTGCCCTTTTTTCATCAGCTTATAATTTGGAATATGTTTACCTTGCTTTTATAGTCAACATCAGTCTTTTTTTCCCAAGTTACCTAATTCAAATTTATGAAATAATTCAAACGTGCAAAATAGGTATATAATGTCTATGTTGGTTTTCAGTCTTGAAGAGCATTTCAGGTATGTTAATGAACCGTTGGTTAATTGTCTTTCTTTATAAGTAATGGAAGGTCCCCAGACATAGAAAAATGTAGCTTCTGTAATTGCTGCTACTTAAATGGTATCTTGGAGGTGCTCTTTTATTGGGCAAAGAGGATAGGGTAGATGTAGCTGAAAGTACACATGATAGAATGAGATGCTGTTCTGGAGGAAAACGTGCACTGCTGGTACATAGGCCGTACGAGGTGAGCCTCAGAACCCTGTGCTGAGATGAGCCAAACACAACAGAGGGCGTGCGCTTGGCTCATGTGAAAGGTCCAGAAAAGGCAGACTGGGAGGGACAGAACGTAGGCCAGTGGCTCCCTGGGACTGAGTGTGGGAGCTGGAGGACTAGGTGGAAATGGGCTCAAGGGAACTTTCTGAGTTGATGGAAACGTTCTAAAGGTGGATTACAGTGATGTTGGCACAAGTATAAATTTTCTGAAAATCACTGAATTGTGTACAATTTGTGTACAAAGTACAGTGGGTGAATTTAGTGGGATATGAGCTACATCTCAGAAAAATTGTGATAACAAAAAAGCCTCGTCGAAATATTTACCTTCCACTTGAAACAGATGTATTCCTGAGGTGTAGAGAGGTGCCAGGACATCCCCGAAAGCTGCTTGGAGACGTCGCCCCGGGAGGCTCTGCCTGCCCCCCGTAGACCCACCTCGCTTTCCCCTCGGCTCAGGCAGCACCGTGTGTTTTCGTTACAGCTGTTTCCGACAGTGGACCCCGTGGGTACTTTGCTCCAAGTTCCAGAACAGATTTCTGCTCACCTACCTCAGCCCGCCGGGCACACGCCCGCACAGCCCGCTCACGTCTCCCCCCCGCCACCTGCAGAGCCACCCAAACCAGCTCAGGTAAGGGGAGGCCCTGGAGCGGCCTGCCGTCGGGGGGGGCGGAGGGGGGTGACGAAGCAGGTGGACGTGGACGTGGGCGCAGCGCGGCGCAGGGAGGTTGCTGCCGTGGTAGATTTGGAGACCACATTAAATGTATGCAGATAGGAGAGTTTTTCAAGGATCACACGGGTTTTTAAGCAGCAAAATCAGTGACTGATGGATAACACGAATAACGTTCAGACGTCAGAAACGTGAGGGGTAGTTTCTGGTCCGCTTTTTCTGAGACGGGTAACCCTGCGCGGCTGCCGGGGCTCATCTGCACACGAGGCTGTCGGCGGCCCTCCCGCCTTGTCGCTCGCTTGAGCTTGCTTAGCGCTGCTCCCTCCCGTCCATGATCTTCTTGCACGACTCTCGTTTAGGGTGTTTGTCAGTTTTGTGAGGGTCAATTTCAGTAAAGTGAAGGGACGTCATCTGTCAATGCACGTGGTCAGTCACACACACACACACACACACACACCGTTGATACTTGTACACGGAAAGCAGCCAGGGGAATGGGGGCCCCGCTGAGTTGCTCTCTCACCTCCCTCAGAAGTGCTAGACACCGTGCAGAACACGGGACCTTATGCCTTATGTTAGAATAAGGTTTCCAGAGGCTATTCATGTATTAGATAGTAGAGAATTCATTTTTGTTCCCTAACATTTTCAACAGAAAGAGGTAAAAAATGGAAGTTCTGATTTTTAAAAAAATTTTTTTTTTTTAAGGTTTTTATTTCTAGGAGAGAGAGAGAGAGACAGCGTGAGCAGGGGAGGGTCAGAGAGAGAGGGAGACACAGACTCTGAAACAGGCTCCAGGCTCTGAGCTGGCAGTCAGCACAGAGCCCGACGCGGGGCCTGAACCCACGAACCGCGAGATCATGACCTAAGCGAAAGTCGGACACTTAACCGACTAAGCCACCCAGATGCCCCTCTGATATTTTTTTTTTCTTTGGCCTCCGGTGATGGTCCCCCTTTGGAGGCCAGTGCCGTGAGAGCTTCCGGTTAGTCATGGTGCTGACTTGCTGTAACCTTTCCATCCAGCCAAGCTTTTCATTTCTTCCCATCATATTGGAAAAGATGCAGTTTTCTTATGAAAACTGATAAAAGATTGGGTTCACTTTATAAACAGCTTCAGGAGAATGTATTTTCTTTAGTAAGCAAGGAATAACTTGCAGTTTTCAGAGAGGATTAGTTTGGCCACCCAGAGTTCTGGAACCCCAAGCCAGGTGGGCTCCTGAAGCACAGCCAGTTTAGACCCTACCTTGTAAATGACACATTGGCAGATTTTTTTTTGTTTATTTATTTATTTTGAGAGAGAGCGAGAGAGCACGCATGAGTGAAGGAGGGGCAGAGAGGGAGAGAGAATCCCAAGCAGGCTCCACACTGTCAGCACAGAGCCCGACGCGGGGCCTGGACCCATGACCATGAGACCGTGACCTGAACCTAAACCAAGAGTCAGACACTTAGTTGACGGAGCCCCCCAGGCGCCCCTACACTCACAGAATTTTTAAAGGGAAAAACCCAGCCTTAGTGTTTTTCACCCTTGTAAAAGGAGACAAGGATCTGAAAAATACAAAATATAAATTATATAAAATATAAATGTGTATGGAATTGCACATGGGTTTGAGATTTATCTTTCTAACTGTGCCTGTCCCGTGCTGGCACTTAGCTCTTTCTGTGACCTTGGAGCGTGTGTCCCCCCAGAGCAGGGGGAGCGTGCGGGGGCCTGGTCTGGCCTCAGCTGGAGGTGAAGAAACCACTGCCGTGTGGGCATTTCCTCCGCTGAAGACCGTTAGGGACCTCCGTGCTTAGCAGTGGGGACACTGACTGTACCGTTCAATGCTTTCAGGGCCCGTCCTCAGGAGCCGGGTCCCAGGAGGCCAGGATCCCAATCAGCCTAGTGCTCAGACTAAGGTGAGTCAGCAGCTCCTGTCTGTTTTCTGAATACTCTGTATACGCTTTTTTCTCTTTGAAAGTGACTCTTCTAGCAGTTTGTGCCTGAGAGTAACTAGGTAAGACTGTGCGCCCTGCACAGTGTGTGCTGCAGGGAACATAGCAGCTCCTGCGACTGACGTGCACATTGTCTTCACTGTTTCTCACTAATGGTGACAAATTTGTGCATTAAAAAAAATTTTTTTAGTGTTTGTTTATTTCTGAGAGAGAGGGAGACAGAGTGCGAGTGAGGGAGGGGCAGAGAGAGAGGGAGACACAGAATCCAAAGCAGCTCCAGGCTCTGAGCTGTCAGCACAGAGCCCGATGTGGGGCTTGAACTCATGGACCACGACATCGTGACCTGAGCCGAAGTCGGACGCTCAACCAACGGAGCCCCCCAGGGGCCCCATCTTCTGCTCATTTTTTAATTGGATCATTTGGGGGTTTTGGTGTTAAGTTGTAGAAGTTCTTTATATAATTTTAGATACTAACCCTTCCGTCCTGTATCACTTTAATTATACCTTCCTGTGCTCTTCTGGTTTCCTCTTCATTTTATATGATCATCTTAGTAGGAATACGGATGGGAGTACACGTATCAGAATCTCCTCAAAAGCGTGAGGGCTTTTTTGTTTTGTTTACTTTGTGCTTGGGGTTTCCCCACATTTATTTCTTTCCAGTATAATTAAGGTACACGGCTGTCTTGGTTTCAGATGTGCATCAGTGACTCAGCACTTGCATACATTGCTCAGTGCCCCTCACAGTAGGCGTGCCCTCAAACGCCTTTCCCTGTTAGCAGGAGGTTTTGCTATTGCTCAGGGGAGAACCTATGTTAAGAGGCTTGTAGGCCTGTGAGATGGTCACCCTGAGTTGCTGGGTCTGAGCCCCACAGTGTGAGCACAGGACAAGGATAGAAAGAAGTCTTATTGAAGCACAGCTTCCCTCACATATGTCGGCAGCATGTGTAAGCATAAATTCAGAAATTTCTCTTACATGTTCTGTTTTCTTTCATAGGAATTCAAAAAAAGAACTAAATGATATTCGATTCGAGTTTACTCCTGGGAGAGGTGAGGCATCAAAAACATAGAAAACAAAATAACTTCGAATTTTGTTATTTAATGAAATGTATTATGAAGCTTTTGTTCTTCAGATATATTTTGGTTTTTTTTTATAGTTTAGTTTTGAGACGAGACAGAGCATGAGTGGGGGAGGGGCAGAGAGAGAGGGAGGGGCAGAATCTGAAACAGTCTCCAGGTGCTGAGCTGTCAGCACAGAACCTGACGCGGGGCTCGAACCCACGAACCGTGCGATCTGACCTGAGCCGAAGTCGGACGCTTAACCAACTGAGCCACCCAGACGCCCCAGATATATTTTGCTTTTAAAAGATGATGAAAATGTTCTTGGTTTAAAGGCTTTGGGCAGCATATGAATAAAATTAAAATACAACTTATTTGCTACTAACCTCATTTTTAAAATCTAGTGTAATACAAACAGTAATGAATGTAGCTCTAATTTACAGCGTACTGTAGGCCAGGCATTGTGCTAAACGTTTTCTCTCATTAAATTCTCAGAATAGCCCCCTAGGGAAAGATTATCGTCCCCGTTGCATAGATGAAGTTAGAGAGCGGGGAGGTAACTTGCTGCCCTTCACACAGCTGGGACGAGGCTCAGCTGGAGTCCGGGTGCGGATTTCTTGCTCTCGTCACTGAACATGGTTGTCCTTCTCCGTGACAGTAAGGAAGAAACCAGGCTTCCAGGCTCGTCTCTCCCCAGGCTGAGGCTGAGCCCTGGCACGCGTCGTTTCTGTTCATGAACTTCTCCCTGGGATGAGGCGTGTTCCTTTCTTGCTTTTGTCACTCGGGGTTCCGATTTGGGACGTGGCCTGAGGCTGGCACGTGTGCCCTGTGTGCCATGCTTGTTCTTCCTGCCGTCTGGGTATCGTCAGCAACTAAGAATGAAAGAGAACAGATAGAGACGGGCAGACGTGTATCTGTTTCACTGTTTAAAACCAGAAAGAGTCACATTCTAAGGAACTAATTCAACTCACTGGCAATCACTGGGATCTACTCCTGAAGCCAAGACTACGCTGTATATTAACTAACTTGAGACTTAAAAAAAAAAACAAAAGCCACTGGTCGTCAGCACAGATGTGTGCCCACCCCTCCCACTCCGCCGAGGTCCTCCCGGGCCTCTGAGGGGCTGGCGTTCAGCAGCACTGATCGCACTGGGCGGTGAGAGGTGAGATCAGTTAGGGATGCTCTGTGCTTGTCTTTTCATTTCTGCTACACCCGTTGATCAGATCGTACCACCTGAAATAGCTAGATATGAAGGAGAGCCCACCAGAATAAAAAGAAAATGACTTTAGCCAAAACCTTGGGGTGTGGTCTTCAAAGAGAAGAGATTACAATTTGCTCTTTCAAGATGTACTTGAAAATAAAGCATTTTTTTGTATTAGCTCTGGAGGGGCTGTACACCCACGGTCACCTCTCGGAGCTGATGGGGCTCGGTGCCTCACACCAGGCGTTTCCCCTGCAGCACCACCGTCGGGGGCTCTTTGACCAGAACGTGGAGCCTTCTCACTTACTCGTGCTTTAGAAAGTTATCTGTACATTGGGCTCATGCGGCCACCTGGTTGCTGTAGATTCTGCCCTCTAGCTAGACCTGTGAGAACCTCCCGCTTGAGGTGGGTCCACTGGTAGGAGAGGCCTTTGCGTGGAGAGAAGAGCCCACCCTCCTTGGTTCGGGGACTCAGCGGCCAGCCGGGGCCTGGCAGTGCCACAGGGAGGGGTCACCGTCTTCTCTGTCCTTGCAGATACAGCGGAGGGCGTCTCGCAGGAGCTCATTTCTGCCGGCCTGGTGGATGGAAGGGATCTGGTCATAGGTAAGTGCTTGCTGCTCCGCCTGGGCCCCTGTGTCTCCGTCTGTGTGTCTAAGACCCAAAAAACCAGGTTCGACTCACTGAGCGGGCCTCATGGGTCTTGGAATGGTCGTGGCGTTGCTGAAACAACCGGTACTGGGGACAGTTCCTCACAGAGAAAAAAATGTCGTTTCTGAGGGTGTGACTTCCAGTGGTAGGGAGTGAGAGCGCACTTAGGTTTCTGGGAGACGGGAGCAGAATTGATGACGTAAGTCACAAGTGAAAGTAAGCTTAGCCATATCTAGTCTCTTTTGGAGGGGGAAACTCTGCCCTTCCAGAGCTAGGAGGTAAGCAAAAGGCAGTCGAGGTTTATTCCTAGAATAAGCAGGAAGTGGGAAAAGGCACAGTCAGGCCACGTGTACATGTTATTGAAGGGAAACACCATTGTCTAGGGCCAATCAGCATGTTTTTCTGTAAAGGACCAGATGGTAAATAGTTTGGGTTTGTGGCCCACGCCCTGTCCCTGTTCGTCCCCTCTACACCGGCCCCAGCCCACGGCGGACTAGACACAGGCTGCAGGCCGGGGCCGGCCAGCTCCCGGTCCGGGGCTTTCTGGCCCAGCAGGCAGTTCCCACCTCTTCCACCTGTGTGTTTTGTCCAGTTAATACAGCATCTTCAACAAAGTCAACTTGACCATGATTCAAGATGTATGTGTGCTACGTAGAGTTAAGTTTCACAGATAACTTTTGTTTGGGGAGTGATTTATCTTTCTGCTTCCATCTCGGTTGAACATAGAAGATTCTGAGCTACCATCTAAAGTGTTTAAAATATGGTGGGAAGTGGATTTACTTAGCTCCTCATGACTTTCTGTTTGTGTGATTACAGTGGCAGCGAATTTGCAGAAAATTGTGGAAGAGCCTCAGTCAAATCGATCTGTCACTTTCAAACTGGTATTCATCCCTCCCTTTTTAGTAAACTCCGTTACCCCGCAGCCTCTGCAGAGCCGCTTTCCATGCTCCCTGAGTGATGAGAATATTAGGTCTGATGGATTGTATTCATTTAGCCTTCCTGAGGCCCTTGGCCCACGTCTCCCTTTTTTTTTTTTTAAATGTTCGTTTAGTTTTTGACAGAGCGAGAGCTCAGGCGGGGCGGGGCAGAGAGAGAAGGAGAGCAAGATCCCGAGCAAGCTCTGGGCTGTCAGCGCAGAGCCCGATGTGGGGCTCAAACTCATGACACATGAACTGAAACCAATAGTTGGATGCCTAACCTGCTGCGCCACCGGGTGCCCCCGATGTCTCCTTCGAGTGGCCCCCCTTCTTTTCTCCCTCCCAGGAAGCCTCCTACCCCAGGCCCTCGGCTCCTGTCCAGAGAGTATTAGGTAGTCTGACTCTAGCTTTATACCCAGCCTCCACCTTTTCCGGAAAACACCCTTGATCTGCCTCCTGTCTGTGTCCCGGGGACCCGGCCCCACTGGCTTCCTTCCCGCAGTCCTTACAGCAGCTTTCGTTGCTACCTGCGGTTTTGTTTACGAGTAGCCACAGCTTCCTATTTTGTTTGCTTCTCAGGCATCTGGTGTCGAAGGCTCGGATATTCCTGATGACGGTAAACTAATAGGATTTGCCCAGCTCAGCATCAGCTAGAGCACAGCCCCGGAGGCGGCGGCCCGCGGAGATGCCACACACGCGCCTCTGTTGCTTCTGTTGGCCTCGACCCACTGCTGCCAAAGAGCCCAGCGACAGACCTCCCGGCTCGGGCCTGCCGAGCTCTCTCTTTACGTTCTGCCCGCCGTCACTCCCCTTCGCCCCGCAGCCAGCGGCCAGCATCCCTGTAAAGAGCTCCGTTCGTCAGCTTCCGCACGGGCCCCATCTCCCTGCACCCGCGAAGGGGCCCGCGTGCCTCGGGGCGCAGGGGGGCTGTCAGCTCACCTTGCCTTACTCCAGTGGTGGCGCCGGGTGGAGAGCGGCGCTCTGTGTGGGCGCCCCCCTCCGCCTGCCCCCCCCACGCCCCCGCGCCCGGCGTGGGCCTCGGGGTCAGCTCCTCACCAGCGAGGCAGAACCCCCGCGTGGCTGGTAGCTGGAGCCCAGAGTGTTTAGTGTAGTGATTCTTTGTTTTGTTTTGTTTTGAAGCTGATGTGAATTCTAGCAACCTTTGTTAGGAAAAAGCACAGCCTCGGAGGAGGCGGCCTAAACTGTGTTCTTGTTTTGTTCCTGTTTCTGAGCGTTTTGCTGGAGCTGCTCTCAGGCACCCTCTTCGTCACTCCCTGCAGGAAGGGTTGCTAGCCTTAACTGCAGCCGGGGCAAAACCTCTGTAGTCGGACTTCAAGCCATCAGATCCTTCAGAGTGGAAGTTTGGACCTACTTCAGCGAAAACAGCAAGGAATGGCCTATAAAAGTGAATTTTCCCAGCAGTGGTTTAGAGCAGGAAAAATCCTAACTCGTACCATCGTGGAAGTATTTTTTTTCGAAGCTTACGAAATTCAGTTGAAGAAAAACTGCTTGCTCCTCAGTCGTCCCACGAAAATCTGCCCGGCCTCCAGGCCACGAGGAAATGAAAGGCGGAGCTTCCTACAGCAATAAAGGCGCCTCCCCAGGCCAGCGAGGCCTGCCTTCCGCCCCCTCCCGCACTGGCCCTCCCGGGGGGGTCCGCACCTCTGCGCGCTGACCCCGACCGAGGACGGAAAGCGAAACCACATGTGCCGTGACTTTTAGGATTTATGAGTAGACAGTGTTCATTTGATTTTCTATAAAAGTGATATAAATTATTCTTTAGGTTTCAGAAAGAGCACTCATAATGCAATAGTGAGTAATCGGTGGGCCAGTTTTCTCTCCTACTACTCACAGCCAGCCTCTGTCTAACCACAAGTAGCCCTCTCCGTTCTTGTACCAGAAGGGGACACTCCATCTGGCCTTAAGTGACACACAAAGATGGGCTGTGGCCCCGTGGAAGAGGGGAGAGTCGCCTCTTAGAGAATCAGCCCGGCCCCTCCAGCGCTGGTGGTCTCTGAATAACAGGATTGCTCCACCTGGTTTTCTCTTGGCGCCTCTGGAAACTTCCCCCAGGCCTGAGTCGTCACAGCTTTGGTTTCTGATTCTGAGCTCGTAGTTCCGGTCGTGGGTTTTCTCCTCTGCCCTGGGTGCAGAGACTACGGGGAAGGGGTGGGTGCTGGGGGAGGAGGGGCGGGTCTGGGTGGCGGCTGGGGGAGAGTAGACACACCGAGTCCGGGGCCCCAGCGGCACCGACAGAGCGTGCTGAGCCTAGACAGGGAGAACACCGATCCGCTTGCTGGAAAAATATTTAGCTTTTCTGTTTTTTGTTTTGTTTTGTTTTGTTTTTTTGAGAGGGATGGGAAGAGCTTGGGCCGGGAGGTGGGACAAAGGTGACAGCATCCTCGGGCACACGACTAGTGGCTTACCTTAGAGTCCGTGCTTTGGTCTCAAGCAAGCCATCACCATCCACTTACTGATACGTGCAGGGGGCGGCAGCATCACTCTATTCTAGCATTCTCTCTGGAGATGGTCTGGAGCCGGGGCGGGGGCTTAGCAGCGCCTCCCCGTCCCCCCCCCCCCCCCCCCCCCCCCCCCCCCCCCCCCCCCCCCCCGCCATTCCGCTTCTCCAGCCAGCCATCACCGAGGAGGGACAGTGGGACAGGCACTTCCGTGGAAGCGGGCTGGGGCTTTCTCTCTCTTTTCCGTTCTCCGTTTGCCCTGCTGGGAATTAGGAGCCAGACACCAAGCCTCAGGATGCTGCACTCTTCCGCACGACGGACGGCGGACCCCCTTCGCTGACGAAATACGTGAGCAGAAACTTCCAGGTGGGACAGCATGTGACACCGAGTGACCTTGCTCCTTTCCAGGAGTGATGGGTTGGGGTGCACCTCTGTCTCTGGGTCCTCAGGACCCCCTGGGGGTAGGAATTGATTCAGCACAAGGTGACGTGCCAATGCTATTTGTGAGATGTTTGGTCTTACTCCAAATGACTAATGGATTTGTTTAGGTTTTTTGCTTAAGTTTTGAACCAAATCCTAGAGCCAGCTGATACTATTTAATAATCTGAGGATAGAATAATGGCGTATCAATAAACAGAGGTTCCTCCTCATGACGTATGCTAGATTATGGAAGATGTAAAATATTTGACCTTCCCCCTCCCTTTTTTTGACTTTGTATTTTGCTGCATGTTTCCTTCATTTTTAATCAATAAAGAATAAATTGTCTGTGGTGGTGTAAAGATTCTTTAAAAAAATTTTTTTTAATGTGTATTTATTTTTGAGAGAGAGACAGAGCACGAACAGGGGAGGGGCAGAGGGAGAGGGAGAGGGAGAGGGAGACACGGAATCCGAAACAGGCTCCAGACTGAGCTGTCAGCACAGAGCTCAACGCGGGGCTCGAACTCACGGACCGCAAGATCATGACCTGAGCTGAAGTTGGGTGCTTAATTGACTGAGCCACCCAGGCGCCCCGAAGATTCTTTATGTTAATGGTTATGGGGGGGGAGCAGTGAGGAGTGGGTCAGGGAGTCACGACATAATTTTTCACGTGAATGGAGAAGAAGCAAAGTGTACATAAACTAAAAACTGTGTGAATTGATCTACAAGTTCTGTAGAACAGCTTAAAACCGTTATACAGATGGGGAAACTAAAATCCCAAAAGGGAGGGAGAAGATCTGGCCAGGAGGATTTCGTATGGTGGGGTATGGAATTCCTTCTATTTGTCCTTTTTGTTTGCTTCTGCTCATGCTTTTGGGTGGGGAGGGGGGGGAGGGATGCACGATCCGAGCTCTTGGGAGTCTCCTTGGAAAATTCAGAGCGGGGCTGAACTTGTCCCTGTTTGGCTTTGATGGGGAAACATTGGGGTCACACGTGAGAGCGTATGCTCCACTAGTCCACCACCATGCGGATAAGTAATCTCTAGTTGAATTTGCTTTCAAGATCAGCAGGTCGTAAAAGTGGACTCTGACTACGGTGGGGACAGAGGGGTGGTAATTACCCAGAAGTGACCCAGGTTGCGGGGGAGGTGGCAGGGCGAGTGTGTTTTCTAGCAAGATCAGATGTCGAAAGGCCTGATTCCTTCGCTCTTTCTCTTTATGGGAACAGGTTTCATGCAGCAGTTCATGGATTTCTCCTTTGGGTCAGCTTGTCTACGCCTTGTGTTTTGTTTGCCTCTTTTTTTTTTTTATAGACTTCATTTTTTAAGAGCAGTTTTAGTTTCACAGCAAAACTGAACAGAAAGTACACAGAGTTCCCGTGTACCCTTTGACCCCACCACACACAGCTTCCCCCCACTGCCTGCACTGTCAGTGCCTGACCCACAGCAGTACGCTTGCTACAGACGTTGACACGTCGTCACCCACAGACGGTAGCGGCGTTTGGTTCACTCTTGGCTGTCGTACGTTCTGTAGACCTAGAGAAAGACGTAGTGACACGTACCCATCGTTACGTAGAACGGCTGCACTCCAGGGACACCCCCCCCCGTCCTCTCCCTGCCCTCCAGTCCCAGCAACCCCTCATCTTCCCAGGGTCCATAGCTCTGCCTTTTCCAGAGTCTCTCGTAGTTAGAGTCCCACAGCGTGTACCTTTCCAGAGCGGCCTCTAGTGCTTAGTAATGGGCGGTCACTGTGTGTGGGGGGCTGGATAGCTCTTTTCTTCTTACTGCTGAATAATACTACTTGGACATACCACAGTTTATTATGGGTCTTCTTGAGTTCTGACAATTAGGAATAATTGTGCTGGGAACATCTGTATGGAGGTTTTATGTGGATATGTTTTTAATTCCTTTCGGGAAACACCAAGGAGCCCAGCTGTGGCCTGTGTGGTCAAAGTATGGTTTTGTAGGAAACTACCAGCTGGCTTTCAAAGTCAATGTACCAGTTTGCATTCCCACCAGTGCTGAGAGTTTCCGTTGCTTTAGGACCTTGCCACCATTTGGTGGTGTCAGCGTACAAGTTGAAGGTTCGTGGCGAGCCTGCATTGAGCGTGCCTCCCAGTACCATTTTTTCCAGCAGGATTTGCTCACTTTGTGTCTGTGTCAATAAAGTATTTTTTAATTAAGGTATGTACCTCATTGGGGTGTTTGGGTGGCTCAGGTGGCTAAGCGTTGGGCTCTTGATTCTGGCTTATAGTTTGTGAGATTGAGCCCCGTGTCCGGCTCTGTGCTGACAGCACGGAGCCTGCTTAGAATTCTCTCTTTTCCCCTGCGCCATTCTCAATATAAATAAGCTTAAAAGGTATGTACAGTGTTATTTTAGACCTAATGCTGCCACACCCTCAATAGACTACCACAGAGTGTAACATAACGTATATGCAGTGGGAAGTGAAAAGGTCATCTCACTGGCCTTATTGCAGTGTTTGCCTTATTGTACTGATCTTGAACCCAACCAGCTTCGTCTCCAACATATGCCTATGTGTCTTTTTTTTGTCTTTTGAGAAAGAGAGAGAGAGTGCAAGCAGGGGAAGGGCACAGAGAGAGAGAGTCTCAAGCAGGCCCCACGCTCAGCAGAGACTGTGAGATCTAAGCCTGAGCTGAAATCAAGAGTCAGATGCTTCACCTATTGAGCCCCCCAGGCTTCCCTGTGCCTGTGTCTTTGCAAATATTTTCTCCAATCTGTGTTTCGTTTTTCTTATTCTTCCTTTTTTCTTTTCTTTTTCATTTAAATTCAGGTTAGTTAACATATAGTGTAGTATGTTTCGGGAGTAGAATTTAGTGATTCTTCACTTGCACATAAGACCCAGCACTCATCCCAGCAAGTGCCCCCCTTAATGCCCCTCCCCCACTTACCCCGTCCTGTGTACCTCCCCTCCAGCCGCCCTTAGTTCTCTGTATTTAAGAGTCTCTTATGGTTTGCCTCCTGCTCTGTTTTAACTTATTTTCCTTTTCCTTCCATTCCCCTATGTTCGTGTGTTTTGTTTCTTAACATGTTTGAGTGAAATCATAGGATATTTGTGTTTCTCTGACTGACTTATTTCACTTGGCTTAATACCCTAGTTTTATCTGCGTTGTTGCTTTTTTTTCCCTTTATATTTATATATTTACTTTTTGTCTTATTCTTTTAACAGTGTCTTTTGCAGAGCAGGAGATTTTAATTCTAATGTAGTCCATCTTATCTATTCTGTCTTTCATGGATCATATCTTTGGTGCTATATCTTTAAAAAAATCATGACCATACCCACGGTCATCTAGATATTTGCTTATGTTATCTTCTAAAAGTTGTATACTTTTGAATTTTACATTGAAGTCTGTGATCCATTTTGAGTTAATTTTCTGAAGAGTGTAAAGTCTGTATCCAGAGTTGTTTTTTGCCTGTGAGTGTCCAATTTTTCCAGCACCATTTGTCGGAGAGGCTGTTTTTCTTCCTTGCCTTCACCCTTTGCTCAAAGATCAGTTGCTGGGGCACCTGAGCGAGTCAGTCACTTGAGGGTCTGACACTCCGTATCTAACAGTGCGGGGGGCCGATTGGGATCCTCTCTCTCCCTCTCTTTCCGACCCTCCCTTGGTCACACTCACTCAGTCTCTCTCTCAAAATAAATTAACATTAAAAAAATTTTTTTAAAGATCTATGTTCTGTTCCATTAATGTATTTGTCTATTCTTTTACCAAAACTGTGCTCTCTTGATTAATATAGCTTTAGAGTAAGTCTTGAAGTCAGTTACTGTCAGTTCTTTGACTTTGTTCTTCCCCTTCAGTATTATGTTGGCTATTCTTGGTCTTTTGCTTCTCCGTATAAACTCTAAAATCGGTTTCTCAATTTTCACAAAAAGTTACTGGGATGTTGATTGTAATTGTTTTGAATCAATAGATCAAGTTGAAAAGAACTGACATTTTAACTATCCATACCATAGACTATCTCTCCATTCATTTAGTTCTATATTGATTTTCGTCATCAGAATTTTCTAGTTTTCCTCATTTAGATCTTTTATATATTTGTTAGGTTCATACATAACTAATTCATTTTTGGGTGCTAATGTGTATGGGTATGTTGTATTTTTAATTTCAAAGTCCGTCTCTTTATTGTTGGTATATAGGAAAGTGACTAGCTTTTGTATCTTAAGTTTATATCCTTCAACCTTAGTATAAATACTTAGTTCCAGGAGTATTTTTGTCAATTCTTTTGGGCTTTCTATTAGATACTAGTTGTCTGGTAGATAATCATGTCATCTGCAAACAAAGACTGTTTTCTTTCTTCCCAATCTATATACGTTCATTTCCGTTTTTGTTTGCATTAGCTAGGGTCTATAGTATGATGTTGAAACGCAATGGTGAGAGGATATCCTGGCCTTCGTTCTGATTTTAGTGGAAAAGCTTCTGTTTTCTCATTATTAAGTATGATGTTGGCTATAAGATTTTTGTAGATGTTCTTTTACATCTTTTTATACATTGTTTGATTTGAGTTACTAGTATTTTGTTGAAAATTTTTACATCTTTGGGGCGCCTGGGTGGCTTAGTCGGTTGAGCGTCCGACTTTCGCTTAGGTCATGATCTCGCGGTTCGTGGGTTCGAGCCCTGCGTCGGCTCCATGCTGACTGCCAGCTCAGAGCCTGGAGCCTGTTTCAGTCTGTGACTCCCTCTCTCTCTGACCCTCCCCTGCTCACGCTGTCTCTCTCTCTCTCTCTCTCTCCTAGAAATAAATAAAATTTAAAAAAAAATTTTTTTACATCTTTGCTCATAAGAAATCTTGCTCTCCCGTTTCATTACAATATCTTTGGTTTTGGTATTAGAATAATGGCTGGCTCATAGAATGAGTTAGGAAATATTCCCTTAGCTTCTATCTTCTGGAAGAGATTGTAGAGAATTGGTATAATTTCTTAAATGTTTGGTAGAATTCATCAGTGAACTCATTTGGGCCTGGTGAATTCTATGTTGGAAGGTTATTAGTTATTGATTCAGTTTCTTTAGTTGATACAAACCTATTCAGATAATGTATTCTTAGAAGTTTTGGCTTGTGTCCTTCAAGGAAGTGGTTCATTTCATCAAGGTTATCAAATCCATAGGCATAGAGTTATTTATAGTATTCCTTTATTATCCTTTAATGTGCATTGGATCTGTAATGATGCCTCTTTAGTTTCTGATGTTAGTAATTTTTGTCTTCTCTCTTTTTTTCTTAGTTAGCCTGACTAGAGGCTTATCAATTTTATTGAGCTTTTCAAAGAATCAGCTTTTGGTTTTACTGATTTTTGCTCTTATTTTCCTTTATTTTACCAATTTCTCTAATTTTTTTAAT